GTAGTGGAAACCGGAGCGTCCGAGTAATGCAAGGATTTTTTTACGATTTGATTTAGGATGAAGGAAAGCCTACAAAGTCATGCAAGGAGGAAGTATCGTTTTACCAAGACACGGCTCTGCCAGTGAATCGTCTGAGGAGTTGATCTCAGCACCGAACGCGTCGAAGCGTTGAGTCGGACAACAACAAAGGATCCGCGTCTTTTGGAAATTTCCCTTGATCCCGTTCTGAACAAGGAGGCAACGTACATAATATGTAAGTAGATGAAGTGAAGTAGCCGGCGTACAGCCGTCAGGGTCTAGAAAGCGGCTGTACGACTGCGCTGAAAGCATTTCCCGTATCAGTGGTGAACAAGAGAGCGATCGACGGAGTGATTGAACGGTTTAGAAGGCCCATGAATTCGTGTAGTACTGGTGTAGTAGTACTGTGGTAGTTGAGTGAACATTGTCATTGTGAGTGGTTGGTGGTCGAGAGCAGACTGGCTTAGTGACGTAATGTCCGCCAGCTTATCATAAACGTTCATGGACTCCCTTCGACGACGTGTTCCATTCACTATCAAAGACGAGGATGAGGAGGAGAGTGACCACGTCCTCGATGAACAAGGTGTGGCAGACGATGGCTTCGTTGGAATGGCCTTTGATGACTTGTTCACAGAACAGGAAGAACTAATACAGTCTTTGAGGACCGCCAATGCGGCGTCTGACAGAAAAGCCCTTATTCTTCTGTATGCCATATTGGGGATGTCTTTCTTCGCGTCCGTCTCTCAGTTTTAACTCAACCTTTTCTTGACGTTGACTTTCTGGCAGGCAACTTGTGAGGTTTACACCGCTAACACTTATGCCCTTGATCGTGCACCTCAATCTGTTACTCATCCTGAGGCATCATCCTCAAGCATTCTCGTTCCAATTAACCTACGCCACCGCCTTTGTTGCTCCGACTCTTGCTCTTTTTCTCGGATATTCTGTCGCATGGTGGTGCTTGACGCCGGTGGTCGCCTTTTCATTCAAAACGTTCTGGAAGGAATTGACAAAGGAACCGAGAATCTGGCAGCCTTGGAAGGCATGAGATACAGGGCTCTCGGAGCATAGAAACATTCGTATGTGTTCCTATAAGCTACATGTAATACATCGAGTTAAATTCTTAAATACAGCACGCAGACTTTACGTGGGGCAGGCAGCGCAGCATCACTTTAGCGTTCCGGTTGACGAACCATGAGATCTCCAAATGTGCTACCGTCTCTCGGTGACGCCACCAGATCTACAGATATTCCCCAACTCCTTTCTCTCGGAAGATATATGGTAGCCGGCCGTGGTTGAGACTCGTCATTCCTCCAAAACATCACCGTATGCAGTACGCCTGGCTGTGACCCAAAGACGAAGAAGATGACCGTGCCAACTTGTTGCAGTGGTCAGTACTCTCGGTGATTTGGTGTTACAACAACTTACTTGTTGCAGCGTACATGTCCGGCGCCAGATTATGCTCGTCGAAGAGTACAACGAGGTTGACACTATACTTCGATATCAGCCTCTTCCGCCGCATTAACACTTTTGAGAACGCTCACGCTATACCGAACAGTATGCACACCCCAAACACTAGGACTCGAACAAGCAGCTGGATATCTACGCCACCCGGGATCCCTGCTTTCCTCATGCCCGTCCAGTTTCGGCGTAATATGATGGCGAGATATACTAGCAACAAATCAGATATAGAAAAATGTGGAACAAAATTTGCCCAGACGCACTCTGTAAAGCGATGATTGCGATGCACATGACAAAGGTAAACAGGATCATTGAATTTGCTCTTCACACCCGGTGAGCATTCTGCCATTCCGAGGAGATTGTATACTTACAGAGCATCACACTTCAAGGCGCAATAGAAAAAGCGCCGGTGGCGAGTGACCAAGTCGGGATATGAAACAGATATTGCGAGGTTGATGATGGTGAAAATCAGTTGCACCGCGTATGGTGCGATGAGCATCTATGTCGAAATCAGAGATGCCTTTCCAACCTTCCTTGCTATGCGCACCCCAATCATACTCGGTTTGCTCACTTCGGAACCCGTCGAAATAACGACCATATGGTATACCAATGCCAAAATGGCGACAGACCACCTTGGAAGGATCAGACACGATTATGCCTCTCGCGGACGAACGTACATTGGCGTTATTCCGTATAACAAGGCTGTCTGGGCGATACAGAGACTCTTCCTCGGCTCCGGCGTGTCAGGCCTATATTCGCCAGCATAGAACAGCAGCAAGGAGAAAATGCCGGAGAGTATCCATGTCATGCATACATTGATCACAGTGGGATGACGCTTCGCACGTTTGGACACCAGGAGAACGACAACGAGGAGGGGGAGCAGAATAGTGTTGGAGATGAGATTGAAATATATCCAAACATTGAGCAAGACACCCGAGTGCGATCCCATGTCATGCTGGTTCACCCCTGCAGCAGTGCTTAGTGGAGGACAGCGACGACTAGATTGAGGACGTACTTGAAGTAAGGGGAGTCATAACGACGGACGGTCGGGGTGGGATTCTGGCCCGCAGAAATACAGAATGGCGCACAGAGATATCCAGCCCGCAGATATCTCAAGTGAGGGTGAGGGTTTATATGGAGAGACGAGGAGAGGGAGTACTGTGGGATACATCACGTCCGAAGTGATATCGACAGTGGGCATCGATTGTGCGGGCTCTACGAAACCATCAGATCGAAACAGCTTGAAGCCGTTCGCACCGCCCTCGAGCAATCCTGTAGTTTACGACTGTTTCGTGGCGGGATGGTGTGCTGTCTCATTGGAGGATGTCTTTGTGCCGGGCCGAACGTTTCACTGGTTAATTTGCACTCAAGAACGGAACCCAGGATCCATTTTCGACGCACCGGGAGAGCGACCCAATTGTATGATTGATCTCATCATCGCCTGACAGATGCCCGTTAAGTGATCAGTTTGGGAGTATAGCTGCTACTCAAATTCGTGATTAATGCTACGCTGAGACCACGTACATCATGTATTCTCATGCTAAAAGCTGTCTGTCCTCTCACCCAACGGTTCTCATATGTCTTTGGTAGAACCATCAAACGAGCTGTTCCCGTGCCGCAATATTCGACAGCAGACGTACTTTCAGAGTATAGTTGTAGGCTATTGCTGTCGCGGTCAGCTAACCGTGATGATTGGAATAGTAGATGCTCTTCGAGCGAGCGATTCATCTCAGTACGGCTTCACTGCCTTACCGGCTGTTGAAATCCTATTCACAATCCTGCATGTATACATATGAGGTAGCGAGCAACAAGCGAAATCAAAGCGAAATGCCAGTTTGACGTTGCCATTAGCGATTGCCTTCGCCGTTTGGAGGACCCAGGAAAGATTGGTATACACGTGTTCATGAGCAGAGTGAAACGCCCACCATTGATCTGTATCTTTGCCTTTGACCATCATGATCTCCCCATCAATCTTTGAACATGTCGTTCGAATCATCGAGCAATGCGTCAGTGTCTCCCGGGCTTCACATAAAAGGAAAAAGAGGTTCGCGACGGACTTGGCCTTGGTTGTATTGTCTATTCGGTATTCTACCCTGCGTTCGTGGGTTAATCTTGGTGCTCATTCAAGATAACAGTACTGCGTATCTCGTAGATGCGATCTCTATGGACTTGACACTCTTCTCATCAATCTCCGGGCTGTATGTACCGCGAAGAACTATTACACGGATGAACCAAGTTGCTGACCTCCACGACTGCGTCTTAGAAGGATCCCTTATTCTCCGATGTTGTTCATCTTTACGAACCCACCTCTGATCAATCGTTCTTCGTCAACGTTTCGCTCTTCCTGGCGCAGGACTCTATAGAGGAGACAACTTTTATAGCGGCTAGCTCTCCTCCGAGGATCGTCCAGCCATCTGAGCGGCTCTGTAAAACGTGGAGGATGCTGAGAGGGAAATTTGACAGCAGTTCGACAACTTTAAGGCTACCGGATGCGTTATCACCGTGTGTGACTGTTCCCCTTGCAGCTTTACTGCTGGAGTATCCTGTGGCATACGTTCCCGAGGCAGGACCTGGGCCGATGCATGTTACACTGCAGGTGTACGAATGCTCTATAACCTTGCCTCCGGGTTTGACTGGTATTGGGGTGGTGAAGTTCTCTTGTCCGCAAGGTATCGCTGAAACGGTGGAGTGCTGGGGACTTCGCGATCGCTACGAGGCGCGTGGCGTCAGTATGCATGTTCGAAAAACGATAGAGGTAGTCGATAAATTGGTGCTATAAATCATCCAACAGCGGCGTACTGAGTTGCATCGTGCCATGACTCAGAGCAAGACTTCTTCTGATCCATCAGCCTTTTTCTGAAGAGGACTTCCTTGGTTGTGGCAATGAAAGAGGACTCATCAGGGAAATATTTATTCAACAGCGTCAAACTTGAAGACTGTAGGGCGCGCATCACAGCGCGCTCAATGTCTTTGCATCAGCCTCGAGGAACCCTGATGAAGGTAGCTATACGAACTGCGTGAACTTCTTGAACTTCTGGTTCTCTTCGGTGACAACGAAGATAAACTCGCTCCCAGCTACGAAGTGCCACCGGATGTCACCTCCGTTGAAACGGCGTATAATCAGTGACGAACAGAATATGGGCACTCCACCACCTACATGATTAGGAGCGATAATCGTATCTCCCGATATCGTTTCGTGGTAGTGTTCGCATGAGGGCCTCGTCGACGGGCAGTACATAAAATCTTTGGTTTGTGCTGCCTTTGTCTTTGAACGCAGCTGCGTAATCGCATTATTACAAAGATTTATGGTTCGTATTGGTGATCCTTGTGAAGTGTGGCGTATGCGTCCTATGATGCGCATTTCGGAAGGGGGTGTCTGAATTTTAGGATGTATCGTCTGTTCGGACTGCGCAAGGAACCAGTTCGGGTGTTCCTTTTGTCGAGACTTGCTTTTTCAAGTTTTTGTCTAGTGAATGGAAGCGCATAATTCAGATAGGTACGAGCCCGTTTGAAGCTGGTGTCATGCCTCCTTAGCTCAGTGGTAGAGCGCGTCACTTGTAATGACGAGGTCAGTCGTTCAACCGGCTAGGTGGCAATGGCGCTACATTTTTTCTCGGTTTTTTGGCCTCACTGACCGTTAGGGTGGCGCAGTAAACCGTGTTACTAACAGTATCGATACCGACCCCCCACGAGGCTCAAGTTATGAAACCGTTAGTAACGGTTTCGATACCGGCACGTGTTTGAGACACGTGATGTGGCGCAGCGCCCAGCCGCCCTCATCCCGCCCTAGTCCCGCCACCCCCAAGGTTCTCTGAGTGCCAGCGCCCCGGCACGTGCGCTAGTCACGTGCCGGTATCGAAACCTACCCGCCGACCCTCGACTGTTTCCATACCGTATCAATACCGTTACTAACTGCAGTAAACCCGAGGTGTATCAAAACCTAAGGTTTACTTCGCCACCCTACTGACCGTTGAGTAAGGCTTAAGCTGTTTAAACTAGGCCCTAGGGTGGTAAAGATACCATTTTTCAACACTCGCTCCTGAGAGGGCCTGGTTTTTACCGGTATTAAACTTTTTTCATGGTGTCCATGTACTTCTTAAAGATTCGCCTTTCTACTATGATCCAACTATGATTAATATTCTCCGCTGTATCATGTTGTACGCCTGTGTGACACAAGTGCCGCCGCCGCAACCAGAAAGCAACCATTCAATTTCTGATGCGCGTTTCACGTTGATTTGTCCCTCTGCTAGTCATCTCCTTACCTGCGCGTCCGATCTTTAGTTCACTCCATTCTACATCTTCATTCCGATATTCCTTACGCATGTGTAACTTTAGTCTGCTTGGAGCAGATACTAGCCCTTCAAGTCAGGTGTAACTTGTAAGTAAGTAACGATCTTACCGATGGGAAAGGCTTTAGGTGTCAGTGCGTCAAAACCCGCCTTGTCCTACCGGACTCTAGATGAATCTTGAGGTTACGGGTAGTACGGGTGCTGGAGATTCTCCACACGGTTAGCACCCGAGAGTGACCAGTAGTACAGATTCCTTCCCAATGCTTCGTAGATTCGAGGTCTACTCTAACCAACACTGTTGTAGTTGGAGGCTGATCTCTGACGCCGATGCGATATACACGGTAGGCCCGAGGAGGACAGATGACTAGGCCGCCCACACTCTTCGCGTAACTCTCAATGGAGGCCATCAAGGAACTGCTATAGAGGGCTTCTAACAAGAGACTTGATCATCATGATGTACGCCCAAAAAGCTGGCATCGGGGATGATGAAATGAGATACAATTGAGGGGCTTGATGGTGCTAGCCCAGGTACAAGTTCGCGCGGTAAGTCCAGCGAAGAGTCTAGGTAACCTGTACTTGAAGCCTGAGGTCCTCCAAATTTGGATACGAAACAATTTCAAGTGTTAGAAGACATCGGAAAGACATACGTGGTTAGCGCTGATTCTACTAGTTCCCGAATCCCGATGAACACGGGTACAACTCGAAGACATCTTCAAAAATCAGAACATGGTGTTGAGCGACTCACAAAAAATAGAGTGAATGTTCCCGTCATATCTTCTACGTCGTTCAAAATCTTTTGCGATGCGATGATTGATTGATGGTTGCCAACAAGGAAGCGAAGCGAGCCGTGGACATCAGGAAGAGGATCCCAAGAGTAGACTTACGTCTTGATACCAGCACGTCAATAGCGCCACACGCGCACTGTAGAAGACCGAAAAGAACAGGAACAAGCAGAGTTGCAAGGGGGGAGTTTCTGAAAGGTACATTCCCGGCGTCTGCTTTGCCAATAACCATGGCAGTGACTGGAAGCACGACGTGGAACTGACTAGTGCGAGTACTGGGACGAAGGATACCCGCGTAAGAGTAAAGCTAACCTGAAGGGTATAACGCAAGACAGGACAGGCAGAATTTTTAGATGGGTGGCGTCTGTATATGATGGCGGTTCCGACTGCGAGCCCCGATGACGACTGGTAGTAATACAAGCGCGGGAGAAGGACCCAGATTACTAGCTCCAAAAAAAATGGCGAGGCCTCGTGCACGATAGATTCTGTCTGACTAGTGGGGAAGAGGAGCAGCAGTCATGGACCTAGTGGTGACCGATTTAGTCGGCGCCGTTATCCCCACAGACAGTGTTCTTGTGGCGTATGAGACGCGTTGAGCAGGCGAATGGACGCGTCGAGGGCCTCGGAGGACCGGTCCGAGTGAAGATCCATTACATTTTGGCGTTGGGGATGAATGTCATGTCCAATCGCGGGCGGCGTTGCAGTCTCGGGCGGGGCACGCTCGAAACGGAAATTACCTAACGCCTCTGTAACGCCGGTGCTTCGATCTGCGAGGCGTGGCCGTTATGCATTGATGGCCTGCTTCTCTTCTCTGTCGTCAAGCTTTCGTTCCTATCTTTTCACCTCCATCTTCTCTATAAAATCCGCGTTTCTGTAGGCGACATCTCTCAACTCGCGTATTGTAGCGATGTCCTCTCCTACCGCCCTCGCCGTCGGTGGCGTCCTACTCTTGTCGACCGTATTCCTCCTTGTTCATTTGACGCGGAAACGCGACTTGCCGCCTGGGCCAACGCCTATACCGCTCCTGGGAAACATCCCAGATCTCATGGCCGTTGCTGGTGCGAACGTGTATCAAGACGCTGATCCCTTACCCGGAACATCGCCGACACCCTTCAACGCTCGGTCGGGCTCCTCTAGCACGCCCATGCACGTACTAATCTCCCGCTGGGCTAAGACCTATGGCCCTGTCATCCACATACACGTCCTATCGCAGCCCCTGATATTCCTCTCCTCTCCCCAAGCCGTGTCGGATCTTCTAGACAAACGCGGCGCGATCTACAGCGATAAACCTCACATGATCATGGCCGGTGAGCTCTGTGGCTGCCAGAACATGGTTGCCTTCACTCCATATAGCGGACAATCTAAACGCCAGCGTCGCCTTCTCACTTCCGCCTTTGGCGTTCGAGCCATCCCAAAGTACGAACCGCTTATTCAACGCAGTACGCTGCAGTTCCTCCAGGAAATGCTGAGCGGTAGCATTGGATACGATCGCGTGAGGACACTCGCTCGGCGATATGCCGGTGGTTTAACGCTCGCGGTCGTGTACGGATACGAGCCCGTGCCTCTTGGATTACAAGAAGGCGGGAAGGATCCAGACCCATTCATACGACTTGCTTCAGAATGTGTCGATATTCTTCAGAATGAGGTCGCGTCTGGGGGTGGTATTTGGGCGGTCGATGTGCTGCCTTGGTTACAGCACTTGCCGCTGGAGAGTATTCCTATCCTAAGCTACCTCCCGGGTCTGAGCTTCAAGCGGAAAGCAACGGTCTGGAAGGCCAAGATGGAGGAGTTTGTCGAGGGACCTTGGTCTTTTGTCAATACGGCAGTGGTAAGACTTATCGTTTTCAATTCTCCAGTTAGGCTGAGTCGATCTGCAGAAATCTGGTAGTTTCTCACCTAGTTTCTGTTCACTTCTCCTCGAAGAACGGGAAAAGGATGCATACAAGAACGATGACACCTTTACGCACGATCTCAAGTGGACCGCAAATAGCATGTATTCTGCGAGCGGCGATACCGTGAGTTCCTAGCAGCACGCAAAGCTAGGCGCTTACCATTTGCAGACAATCTCCCTCATGCTTTCTTTTCTCCTCGCCATCTCCATGCATCCCGAGTGCGTCGCGATTGCGCAAAAAGAGATTGACAGCGTGACGCGAGGCGCACGTCTTCCAACTCTAGCCGATAAGGACCACCTGCCATACAGTAAGTTCACTAGCATGTCTTGACTAGCCTCGTTGGTGCTAAACCGATACTGCTGTAGTATCTGCCATATTCACAGAGACCTTGCGCTGGAGCTGCCCGGTACCGCTCTGTCTGCCACATCGCCTGATGGAGGAGGATGTATATGAAGGAATGCGGATACCTCAAGGAAGCTTGGTGATAGGCAACATATGGGCAATTTTGCGTGATGAGACGATGTATCCGGATCCGCATGCGTTCAAGCCTGAGCGGTGGTTCACTGACAAGAAGGAAGAGGACGAAGACGAAAAGCGCCGGGACCCCCGGAGTTACGTGTTCGGCTTTGGAAGGAGGTAGGTGTAAAACTCTTCTTTTAGTGCTCATTCTGACCTGCGACTAAGGCGATGTCCTGGGGCGCTTTTGGTCGAATCCTCGGCGTGGCTGCTCATTGCGGGTACATTGGCTACCTTCAATATTAGTCGAGAAGGGAAGGAGGCCAAGTGGGAAGGAGGCGTGTTCAGGACGCCAGCGCCATTCGAGTTCTCTATGACCCCTCGTTCAGACGCGGCTGTTGGAATTGTCAGACAAGGTGTTTTATGATATACGTGAGTCGCGACGATTTGTTTGAGCACTTTTTGGATTAGGAATCTTGACTCTGTGTTGCGCGCAACAACGCGGAGATGTATGTTAAAGTTATTCTGTAAATTAGCACCTTATTGTTCGGCTACTCACAAAACGGTGGTGTAATAAGCAAGGCATGGCGTGGTGAGCATTGAGCAAGCACGTTGGAGCGGCCGAGTAAGCCAGATTGACTCGTCATGTGATCCTGACACCATCTTCTCCTGATCTGCCGTGAGCGCATTATAAAGCAGGCAATCTCAGCCATCGATACTATCTCGCCTTTCTACCATTACCAGTCACTTTGTGTCCACCACGGCCTCTTCATCCTCGCCCTCTAAAGACCAGCAATACCTGATGTCTGTCAAGGAATTCGTTGAGGTACCCACTATCTGCTTGCTCGTCGTGGCCGTCGACGTTGACGTGTCATTTAGGAAACCATCTCCTCGAACAAGATCACTGTGTTCTCCAAGACCCATTGCCCGTACTGCAGACGCGCAAAGGCGCTCTTCGCAGACAAGTACCCCGACGCTGACATCAAGATTGTCGAGTCCGTTGCTCGCCTTTGTCATCCATTAACAACTCATGTCCTGCCCGGTAGAATTGATGAACGCGACGATACCAGTGCGATTCAGGACTACTTGCAGTCCAAGACGGGTCAGAGGACGGTGCCGAATGTTTTTATTAGTGCGTACATGTGAAGCAGCTCAATTCATAAGCTGATATTCGTT